CAAGAATAATATCATCCTAGTTTGCTAATTGTATTTAATTTTTGGTATATTTTTGAAAAGTAGCTAAAATCACCATTAAATTTTAGACCACTTCATAACATTGTTTTAAAAGGTGTATTTCAATCATTATACAGATATACTAGGTGTAACACCCATGTATTATATGAGTTCATTTTAAAGAAAAAAAAAATATTAAATTCTAAACATTTGAGAAATTTGAATTTATAAGAAAAAATAGAAAAATATTGAATTATTAAAATTAAATTATTTGTTTTTCTTTTAAATTAAACAAATAATTTAAATAAATATAAAAGAAAACTAATAAAACTTTAATTTAGAAAATTTAAAATTAGAATGAAGTCAATTAATGAAATTGATATACATTTATTATTATATTTATTGTAATTATTACATTTAAATATTATGTGGAAATTAATAAAATTAAAAAAAAAAACACAAAATGTCATGTAGAAAAAAAAAATTAATTGAAAATAACTACAAAATGACATGTGGCCAAATCAATGAGAATGTGACATGTATCAAAAAAATATTTATTTATTAAAGAGGATTTAAGCAGCCAAGCAGGGTTCTCAATTCAACAATTCATGCTGTTGATTGGACCATTCCTTTAATTGTTTTTAAATTTTTTTTTACCCATTTACACGTGGTGTTATGGACTCGATAAGTCAGTCATATTGCGATTGGTGTCATCGGTTCTTCCAAGAATGAGTTCCTCTTCCCACCGCTTCTCTTACCTTCTGCTTAAATCCTAAGGAGGTGTTTGGCTTAGCTTTTTAGAGGCCAAAAGTTCTTTTCCAACAAGTTACAAAAAGTCAGGTTTTCCTGACTTTTCTAAAAAGTTGATTTTTCTTCTGTCCAAAATCCAAAAGTTGATTTTAAAAATCTTTTGTCAAACATATTTTGGCTTTGATCTTTTACTAAAAGTTCTTTTGGCATATGAAAAGCTAACCCAAACACCCCTAAATATGTGTTTAACACATCCAGTTTCCTTCCCGTTCTTCTCACCGCCTCCGCCGTTGTATTTGAAAAGCCAGGTTGATTTATATGATCTGCATTACTTCTCGATATTATCCACCGCCATTAGCTCCACCGTCTTCTACTTTCTGCTTCTTCGTTTTATCGCTTCATTTTCATTTTTGATTTGGTGTCTAATTTTTTGGTGTTTTCTGTGTCTTTCTCACTTGCCCTCTTCGATTCCACCGCTCACCTCATCGCTCCCGCTATTCATTTGGTACATCGATTGCACCGCAAAACCTCTGATTGTCGGGTGGACACCAGACTCCCTTACAACCGATTTGGGTTTTTTATGAGGTTGAAGAGAAAGATTTTAGTCCAACTGATTCTCATGTAGTTCTAATTTCTGTCCCAGATAAACGTATTAATGCTTTTTTTTTATTGATTTCTAATTTTTGTGTTTTGTTCTTTAATCCGGTTTAATATTTATGAGTTCGTTTGTTTCGTATGTACACATAATTGTCCAACTTTGGGAATTGGATATTCATTGGTTATTCCCAAACTCCTCAAAGAAAAGGTACGTTCATCTCAACTATTGACTTAATTTGAAAGTTTTATTAAACTTCTTCGGTTTCCGTTTTCTCCTTCTTTTCGATTGATGGTCTAGTCGACTTTCCTGCTGGAGCATTTACCCCTTCACCGCATGTTGGTTTCACGTATGTGTTGGAACCTCACTACAAAGGTGGGAGGCAAACATTGGAATTGATGGTTCTGAATAAAGGTTAGACGGTTACAGAAGGTCGCATAGACCCCAACAGATGGTATCGAATTTATCTTATGCTTATCTGTTTATACTCCTCTCTTATTCTTTGTTCTTTTCAATATGATTTATGTGTGTTAGATGTTTTAGGGTTTCAAGATATGATTTTTTCATTTTAATTCATTTCTTAATTCAAATGGTGAGATTGAATAGAGAAGCTAATTTGATGAATCATGTTGTGTATACTACATTACTTAATTAAAGTTTCGGTCAACTGATGCACCCCAAGTGTTTGACAGAACGCCTGAAAGATAGTTTAGCATATTAAACTGACATGGAGGGTGGACCACCGAAGCTTCTTGATGGTGTTAAACTCTCAATCTACGAGTATGAACTTTCTTTTGCACTTGAATTCATTATATTTCATGGTAGTTGTTGTATTGTTTAGTGTTTATGTCATACTTGAACTTAAATTATCAATTGTTTCACTTTAAAAGCTAAAGTGTAATGCTATCTTTATGTCGGATACATGTCTATAGAAATCCTATTTTTTTCGTTTATTAATCGTCAATTATTGTTATTTGGACCCATCTCTAATGATTTGTTCATTTTACTTATTTGTTTGGGACCAGAAATGCAAAAACGGACTATACCCGGGGACTAAAAATGTACCTAACTCTGAACTTTATAATGACTTTTGCTATCAGGTTGGTGACAGTATGCACGTACTTAGCTATCTATCTATATACCTTTGTTTCTTAATCTTATGATAAGCCTATCATCCCAGGTATTCATATTTCTCTTATATCATCATTTGCCTCAAAGTTCTTTCGGCAACTTCTCCTCCGTCCGCCATTGCAATTGGTTGAATAATGGGTGGTTTTGTTGTGGAGGTGGTGTTTCGGGTACACCTCATGGATGATATAAAACTAGATAGGATGAAAATATGACAAGTAAACAAGTAAAAGATTGCATTAAATTCAAAGAAGTGGAATTGGTTGATTTTGGGGTACACCTCATGGATGATATAATTGACTTATCATTAGACTTAATGGAATAACACTTGTGAATTGATTTAACTTGGCTATAGCAATTCATAAGCACAAATTGCCTCAACTCTTCTTAGAAATAAAAATGGTTAGAGGAGCTCTTAACACATTTCCTTAACTGAAGTCACAAAATCAATGAAGAATAAAATATTGTGAAAATCAATTAGCTTTAAGTTGTAAGAGTTACCAAGTCCAAAAGATAATCAAATGCTTACATTATCATTATGGAGGAAATATTTCCATGGTCTAAATGAAATGAAAACAAACATATAAACCATTTGTTGCTTACTAATTTGAAGATCCATTACTTAACCAAGAAATTAGTCAACAAAAACAAGCATTCATTCATCCAAGCTCATGATCAAAGATAAATAAACACAACAAGATGTTTAACTAGAAAACATTCCCATAAACTCCAAACACAATGTAATAATAAGTCTTCAAAGCAAATAATCATCCATGGGTCAAACCCTAATCAACCAAATGAAAGTTAAGCCAAGCATAGCCAAGGTAAAAGAAAAACAATAGAGTTTAGTGATACCAAACATTGTCTTAGATGCAAGATGAAAGGAAATTACACTAATCTTCCAAATATTCTTCAAATCTTCCAAAGCTTTATAGAGAGAATATGGAGTATGTTCTTCAAGTCCTCCTCCTCAAACGAGCCTCCAATCACCAGCTAAAGAGAGCCAATTTCCAGATTCAAAAAGAGACCAAAAGCTACCCACCAAACTTCCACAAATAGAGTCAACAAGTCAAAACCCGGAAACAATTCATCACAATTCACACGGACCGCGTATGGTCCCACCCGGACCGCATGGGTCACGCTGAATGTGAAACTTGGGCCATTTAACATGCATTTAAGCCCAATCTTCATTTCTTCAACTTCATCCCATGATCATAACTCTTTAAGACCCATTTGCCATTCCAAAGCCTTCTAATGATTGACCCAATACTCCTTAAATTTTCTTGTAGCTCGATTCCGCACCGCCTCATCATCATCATTGCCCATAAATTAGATCCAAATTGATTTCTTCTTTTACGCAAGCACCTAGCCCAATCGCACTACTTCAAGTCCGCAAGCAAATCACATGCCTCCATGAGTCTCGCACTCTTCTAAGCCTCCAATAACAAATAGTCTTCGGTAAATCCTGCAATTAAGCTCAAAAGACTAGAAAGCACCCGGTAAAGGAGAAAAATGACAAAAAGAGAAAATATGCATGAAGATTGACTAAAATGAGATGGTTTTAACTAAAAATAAACTATGAAAAGAAGTAATAAAAACGAAACTGTCAAGTCCTTTCTTCATTAAGCTTCACAAAATCCAAAGAACAAGCTCCAAAACTAAATAAACAAGCCCACAACCATTGGTGGAGGCTAGGGTTTCAAGATGGGAGGATATAGGCTAAAGAGAATGACATAATTTAAGAGTTAGTGTCTTCAAATATGGAAGAAACCCTAAAATCCTAGGCTTATGATGCAACAACGATCACGTTGTGGTCATCATCTCGCTATGCCGTGGTGATCTACGAGCCGTGTTCTTTATTTAAATGACATGGGCACGCCGTGGTATAAGGTTTTTCCCAAAAACATTATCCTTGACATCCTTAATTATGCAACCGATCAAAATGGAGAAATAAGTGTTACAGGAGGGATGAAATGATCAGAATAAAAAGTTGATGCGATGTTTATTTGTCATCATGAGTTTGGATATATGTACTGCCTCCATCCTTATATATGTGTTTTTAATAATGCGTTAATGTTACAATTGACGCATATTTCAGTGTATTCTATATCCTTTTATTTCCGTAAAAAGGAATAGAATTAAAATTTTATTTGGAACCAAATTATACAACACTAACTAAAACAAACAACCTTTATATGGTTCGTTTATAGACAATATACATGATTAAACCAACCCAACAAACTAAAATGAATTAAACGAACCACATAACATCTCTAATAGCTATATCCTGAGAATCGTATTACAACCTAAACCGAAATATCAGGTAAGATTATACTTGATGTCAAATTTAGCAACAAAAATGATTAATTAAATAAATTGAGAAAAAATAAAATACCAATTAACCCAAGTGAACAAAAAGTAAGAGAGCCAATGGCATAATAATAGTAATTGTTATTTTTGTACAAATTAAAATACCAAATGAGTATTGACCTAATGCATACGTCAGAAATTCAAAAGAACCCGCGTGACTGTTAAAACAGCTACATTTGTTTCTCTCTCACGCACAAACACGCAAAACACACATTCACCATCACCATTGAAAACGAACACCAATCGATCATAGATTTTCGGCCTTCCTTTATTCTTTCCAACAAATTATCTGTTCACATAGATGTGTTTTCTTCCATTCTCATTTCTTGAAATTTCATATGATTTCAAACCAACATAAGCCGACAGAATTTGAATTTTCCGAACGCATTATCAGCCATTTTGTCCTCGATTTGATCAATTTGATGTTTCTTCAATCGGGGTTTCGAAAATTCTGAAAATTTTGGTTCGCATTAGGGTTTTGGAGAACAGGAAATGGGACAGAAATCCCTGATCTACAGCTTCGTTGCCAGAGGCACGGTGATCCTCGCTGAGTATACCGAATTCAAGGGGAACTTCTCAACCGTCGCCCAACAATGTCTTCAAAAGCTTCCTGCCAATCAGCCTCGGTTTACGTATAATTGCGATGGCCATACCTTCAATTACTACATCGATACTGAATTTAGTGAGTTATTTTCCTTTAATTTCGTCAATTTTTTGAGATTCTTACGTTGATTACAATCCGGCCTAGGGTTTTCTTCATCACCGTTTGAATTTCCCTTACGACCCTGGTCTTATAGCCTGTTGCAGGACCAACTCCGTCGTTAAGAATCAATGACACATTGCTAATTAGAGGATACCATATTAATTGATTACAGCTTAATATATTTGCTTGCAATTTGCATATACTAGCTGTTGAATTCTAATATTTAAGACTTTGAATTTCCTCCAATCATGGATCGAGAATGTTGGAGGTTCAATTACCTTTTTTTTTCCAGCAAGCTGCATTGTAAATGACACCAATTGAAAAAGTATATTAAATCAAAAAGAAACATCCTCTAAAAAGGAGAAACCATTGAAATGGAAAATGTTGAAGACAAAGGATGTGTTTGGGTATTGCAGCATACTGTGTTGTTGCAGTGGAAGCTGCTGGAAGGACCCTTCCCATGGGCTTTTTGGAACGTGTGAAAGACGAATTTAACAAGAAATATGGAGGTGGAAAAGCTTCAACTGCTGCTGCCAAGAGTTTAAGCAAATCTTTTGGGTAATTAAAAAAAATACATAAATTTTAAGATTGGTGTTTGTTTATATAATATTTTCATGAATGTTATAACAATTGGTGGATTTTAGACCAAAAATGAAAGAGGAGATGGCATACTGTGTTGCTCATCCTGAAGAGATTGACAAGATTGCTAAGGTCAAAGCTCAGGTTGATGAAGTCAAAGGAGTTATGATGGGTAACATTGAAAAGGTATCTTATTTAATAATAAGACTTTTTCTCATTAAGTCATTTTCTTCAATATTCTATAAGAAACTTTTGCATCTTATCTTGTGTGATGTTTTGTAGGTTCTTGATCGTGGAGAAAAGATTGAACTTCTGGTAGATAAAACTGACAATCTTCGCAATCAGGTTTGTATCACATGAACAACATTTTTTTTATTATTATATTAATTGTTTATAAATTCAATTTCTTTTTGAATAAATGGTTAGGCGAATGATTTCAAGAAACAAGGAACGAAGATGAAAAGGAAGATGTGGATTCAGAACATGAAGATTAAGCTGATAGTTGTGGGGATTGTGATTGTTTTGATTCTGGTGGTTATTATGTCAATCTGCAATCAATTGAGGTGCTTTTGAAGCTCTTCTTTTCTCCAAATGCTCAATCAATGAGTTTTTTTTTTTTTTGCATCTAAGATGCTTCATCTACATGTTGTTGTTTATAATACATTGGTCAAATTAAATGACTAAATAAACTTAGTATAAGATATATACCCAATGTTTGGAATTTTTTGTATATTGTAACAAACAAGTTAAGTGTACATTACTTATCATCTTTACTTGGTGTTCCTTTTAGGAGGAAAAGTGTAATTACAATTTACAAAAATGTGGTAGGAAATAGATTTTGAATATTTTCATTTTGTTTAAACCGTGTTACTTGTCAATTAATTGTAACATCTTAATTTTGAGCAATTTTAAATGTTAAGAAGTAAATAATAAAATAAAGTAGTTAATGGATAAAATAAATAATCGAGGTTAGAAAAGTAAAAACACGTTATAAATTAATTAGAGGATTAATATCAGTTTAAAACTAAAAATTTACAATGAAGGACTAAAAGTGTCAATTTAGCAAAACTAGCTTTAACTTAGTATGATGACCAAAATGTCAGCAGTTAATTATGTGGGGGTTAATCTAGCAAGTATAGAAACTTTTTGGTTAGTTGGTGACTATGGTGATCAAAGTGAAACATATGGGATATAAGGGGTCCATATTGTCAATACTCATAAGATTTAGATGAAAGCATTCCCTCCCCTGTTTGAATCAAAAATCAACTTTGGAAGCTTGGGAACGCTAAATGGCGATTCTTATGGCTTTGGAAGATTTAGAAGTGAAACTTGAAGATTAGTTGAAAAACTAGGTGGTGTTTGTTTTTTTGCAAAGCTCTTCTTGATCTTTTATGTTTGTGTCGTGCAGACAGCGTGCAAACATTTGGTCTTGCAAACTGTTTGTTTTTTAGAAGACTGCATACCTAAAAATGTCTGTGTGTCATCTTCTTGGCGTAGATATGGACCTAGGGATGTTATTCAGGTCGGAACCGAACCGAACTGAACCGAACCCGAATAACCCGAAAACTGAATAAGGGTAATTGCATGAACCGAAACCCGGATCAAATAACCAATATGGGTTCGGTTCGGTTTGAGTATTAATCGGTTCGATTCGGTTATTACCTAAATAACCCGAATAACATGTACACAATGATTAAAGACCTAATATAACCAATAAGAACAGAATAAACCGTATTAGGATTCTATAACCCGAATAACCCGAAAAGAACCTAATACAATTTTCCATAACTAGACAATATATGAATTCGTGAATCCTTAGCAACAAAGAAGGGATGGTCGATTTTTTAATATAAAGAAGAAGGATCGACACTCAGTTTCTGAATATGAATGCTTGAGTAGGAAGTCGACTTTGGTAATAAGATTGAGTAGGAAGTCGCCTTCGGTAATACGAAACAATAGGGTTTTTTTCCTGTAGTGAATGTACGACTCGATCACAGAAGGAGAGACATAGAAAAACACAATCGAATCGACTGAATGTAGGTCATTTAGTGTAGCAAAGAAAAATACGATTAAAAAACGACTTCTCAATTTCGGGTCGGGTATTTAGAACCAAATAAGCCCTTATTTTGGGTAACCCGAACCGAATAAGCCTAATATAGATACTCGAGAACCGAATCAAAATGCTTATTTGGGTCTAATTCGGTTCGGTTCGGTTCCGGTTTCCGGACCAACTTCTCATCCCTATATAGACTTATGTCTTCTAACATCTTTTTATCTCTTCTACAATGTATATTTAACTTTTAAAAAAGAAAATATTCTTTTGGTAATTATTAGTTTCGTTTTTCATTTTTTATACTTTTGTCCTCCTTTCTTTGTATATAATTATTTATTTCTTTATTTTTTTATATTATAGTTACGTATTAACTCAAATGTTTATGTATATGGTTATGTGATATTTTTCTATTCAGATAATATATTTATCCAAATAAATTTGACATAGTTTTGTAGATATTTTTATTTTTGTGCACGTTTACATTTAGTAGGTAAAGTTGATAACTTTTTTTTATGTTATTTAGGATAGAAACAATATCATCAATTGATTAGTTCATATATATAGTATCAAAAATCTTATTGAAGTTTTATTTTCAGTTATCATAATTTATACCACGTTAATAAATAAGTTCATTTAATTTTTTGATTATTGAATCCCAACTTAATTTGAGCCCTTCAAATCATCACATTGTCGAATCTTGTATCGGTTTCGGTTTATTATTTTCGGTTTGTTGTGGTTTTATCAAGGTTTTTTATTGATTCGGTTTTTGCTCACCACTAACTATATTTGTGAATTAGTTGTATGCTTTATTTAGTTGCTTAAGTTACAGTTGATGAAAACTTTAGCTTGTTGTAATATTTTTTATGTTAAAAAAACGGTATATTTAAATCTTGGTTTATTTTAACAACATGTAGACGTTAAAAAACAAACAGTTTTCTTCTTGCAGACTGCACACATTTGGTACACTTCTTCTACTGTAGAAGTTTGCAGATGTGGTCCACATACTGCAAATATTTTGTCTCCAAAAAACAAACAACAACTAAAGCTATGAATCACACAAAAAGGTTTAAAAGGTATCATTTCATATGTTTTTTTCCTTGACTTTGAACTAGGGTTTAGAGAATCCTTCAAATCCGAATGTGTTTGTGATTAGTAAGCTCTAAGTAAGTTTCTAGTTCCATTTCAACCGAGTTTGTAGTATTTATTGTTAATTGAATGGTGAAATGATATTTGAAAATATTTTTTTTATGTTATAAAATACTTTTTGGTTGGATCTTACATTTTTCACAACCTATATAGGATCTTACGATTACGATTTTGTAAAACGGAAAACAATCTAATTTAGAAGAAAGCAAATATCATAGATTAAGGGGAAATTGAGTAATCTAACCACTTATTTATTTATTTATTTATTTTTAAATATAACATTTTTTTTTCTTTTTTTGCAAAATAACCACGTATTCCCTAATGGGTCGTTCCGGAGCGAATTCCGGATTATATTTAAGGTCTCCCGAACCATTCCATTGGATCCAGAAAACCTATTCCGGATCAACCATATATGTTTCGGATTTGGATTTTAAATTTGCAGAACGGAAAACAATCTTATATACAAGAAAGCAAATATCATAGATTAAGGGGAAATTGAGTAATCTAACCATTTTTTTTAATATAACATTTTTTTTCTTGTTTTGCAAAATAACCATGTATTCTCTAATGGGTCGTTCCAGAACGAATTCCGCATTATTTTTCGGGTCTCACGACCAATTTCATTGGATCTGAAAAACCTATTTCGGATCAATCGTATATGTTTTAGATTGGGATTTTGAATTTCAAAATTCGGAATCTATTTTGAGGTGGCGATTTCATTCCGGAAAGGCACATTCCAATTCTAACATTCTGACTCGATTCCGATGTTCCGACTCGATTATGACATTCCGACTCGATTCCGACATGCAACTCCCATCTCCAACACGCATCGACACCCATTTCTGACATGGAAGACGAGCACTACGACCCCATTATTTTACGGGTACATTCTTCATTTTCTCTTTGTTTGTTTAATGAACTGAAAACGTTTTGGAGTTTAAATTAAAGATGTCATTGTTGTAAGACCAACTGAAAAGTAGTTTAGATGTTTAGGTATTGTTGATTTACATCGAAATTTTGTATTCTAGATCTTAAAATTTCATTCCGAAAGCCTTCGGAATGCGAAGAACTGTTCCGGAACACGATGAACTTGTTTGGAACATGAAGAACAGGTCCGAAATTTTTCTGACATATTGGTCATTTCCATTTTAGAATGAAGTGATAACATCTTTTTATTTGTGCAACACAACATGGTTTTTGATGCATCAATTACACTCTCGTGTTGTAAGATTCGGATTCCCAGGTATTGTATATTGTTAATTATTTTTGGGTTAGAGAGAGAGAGACTCGACGAGTTAGCGCTTAGACTCGACGAGTAGGATCGCGATTTGTTTACTGGATTAATGAACGGACTCGACGAGTCGGAAGGGGTGGACTCAACGAGTCCGCGCTGTGAGTTGAAACCCTAAATCTCGGGGTCTGTGCCCTATTTAAAGGCCTTTATGGCCTTCATTTGCGGCCATTACACCCCTGAGAAACCCTAGAGAGCAGAGAGATTGTTTGTGGTGCAAGAGGAAGGCTAATTAACCATTTCTTGTGTGTTTTAGCAAAAAGAAAGGAGGAAGGACAAGCTAGGCGAGTTGGGGAGCTTGGATCTACTTCCATTTGATCAGAGGAATCTGTTGGAGGTATCAATCTGTGCTTATTCTCATGATTATGATGTTTAGTCGAATCTAGGGTTTCTATATGCATTATTTTGGCTTGAATTTGGAGTGGATGAGGTCCCAAGGTGAAATGATTCTTAGATCGGGACCTCAAGAGGTCCAGAGAGTCCTTATAGCTATTCTTTATGCCATTCCTTTTGAGTTGTGAACCTAGGTAGCCATTTTAGTGGTTATTTCACCAAAAAAAAGCCTTGGATGCATTGCATGTGAGTCAAGTTTCAACCTTTACGTGATTATTGGTCGTGGGGAAGTTAGATCTATAGATTAGAGAAGCGGATCTGACCTCCGAAGGTTATTTGAGTGTGATTATGGAAGCAGCTTGCCGAGTTCATAAGTGGACTCGACGAGTCGAGTCGGGGTTGCCCCACGATTCGTGTCAGGTGGAACCCGTTGAGTGGAAGGATGACTCGACGATCCAAGAGAGGCTAGAGGATTCAGAGGACCCGCATGGACTCGCCGAGTCGCCCATGTGCACTCGACGAGTCGGGTCAAAGTTTGACCATTGACTTTCATTGACCTTAGGATTTTGGTCAAGACTGATTCAAGAAAGTTCAGGGAGGGGTAGAATGGCCTTCTACCCAATCTGTAGAGATGATACTATGAGAGAATATTGAACGGGAATGTTATTTGAATGATAGGAGGAGGCTAGGTCGGGACGTTGAGTACAAGAGTTTATCTGACTTCATTGAGGTGAGTCTTCTCACTATAATGTACCAAGAAGGGTACATATGTGTGACCGAAAGGTCTTATATGCTATGAGATGTATGTGCTATATGCTGTTATGTGATATATATGTGTTATGTATGTTATGTATGATAAGGACCAGAAGGCAAAGATGATATGGACCAGAAGTTCAAGATGACATGGACCGGAAGGTCAGGAGGTTACGGACCGGAAGGTCGATACAGGTAGGACCGGAAGGTCTACCGGGATTCGGGACAAAAGTCCCCTGAGACACTTGGATCG